ATTGTCAGACCCATGAACTCAGGCTTCTTGAGTGCTCAGTTCCGATTCGTTAATTGATGACGACGCCAATCAAAATGACCGAATATTTACAACAATCCACAGAACAAACCAAAACAATGTTGGGCAATGCTCAACTCGAAAGCTCTGCTGGGGATTCGGCTCCGGCACTCCCACCTCAACCAACCAGGATGTCAAATTCACGCCCTTCTTCAAGAGCTAGTATGAAATCCGTTAAATCTATAGCTCCTGCCACCCAAAGAGCTAGTGTCCCGGCTAGTGACCCAATCAGGCCTTCTCAGCCCTGGCAACCACAAACTCAACCACTCCATCCCCTAGCAAGTGAATTTCCTCTTGTATCTACTCCTGGCTCAAGTCAGCACAACCCCAAACCTCGCAGCGGAGCTGGTGCTAAACGGACCAAACAAGTACAAGCCCGTCTCGAGCAATGTATCCGCGAAGGAACAGTTCCTCCGTACTGCGAAAACTGTGGTGCTATTGAAACTCCGACCTGGCGCCGTGCCCACTCGAAGGTTATTCCAGCAAACGCTGAGCAGGCTGAAGCGTATAACAGCGATCCGACTATCCTTTTCTGGGAACCTTCTGAACCTGAAGAGGATGGTTCCCATAATTCGATAAAGATATATAAGAAATCACTCGCCCATGATGATTTAGACTTCGTTCAACTCCTCCTTTGCAACTGTGAGTATTAAGCAACCCTGATGATATATATTTGCCATGTGTTTTAACGTATTTTAGCATGTGGTTTATGGCTCTACAAATTCAAGAGCATGCGTCCCGAGCACAAATGGGACAAAGTCGGCCCAAAGGAGAAGCCGAAACGAAAATGGAAGTCGATAAGGGCTCAACCATTGGAGACTCGTGCTCGGCGCAAAGCTCGTAATACTGCAGGAACAGAGTCCTCACCAGGCCCTTCAGACGCTTCATCTCCGGAAGGCGATGAGGGTGCCACTACACAGGCAGAGAATGATACCCAACCAGAAGTTGATGCTGAGGCCAATAAAGGTAACTCAAAGCAGACTGAGAAAGTAAGGGCCAGTAGCGCTGAGCCACTTAAGTCAGCAGAGAAGCATAATCGTTGGCGCGACCAAGATCCGTTCGAGGCATTAAGACGAGCCATTCAGTCCAGCCCTGCTAGAAATATGAATTCGTGCAAGACCCAGTTTTCGGAGGCACAGCTCACTCCCAAGCCAGTTCGTAGAGCATTGTTCCCTTCGAATAAAGATGGCGAATCCATGAGGTCTCTTAGCGACTCCTTACTTAACGGCTTACGTCGAAGTCCCCGATCAGCCCACAAAAAGCCTACAGGACAGTTAGGTCAAGAAAACGCTCCACAAACCCCTGCTGATGGTCTTGATCACCTTTTCAGGGATGCAGACGATGACAACACGCTGGATTTCCCTGGTAGCCCAACTCCAAATCGCCGGAATAGATCCATCCGGTCAAAAAAATTACACGAAGCTATAACCAACACATCTCCATCCCAGAAAGCGGCTCGCGCTCTAACCCAGGGTTCGAAGGATGACAGTTTCCAACCTGACTCGACAAGCCCATCTAAAGGGCTTGACACTTTGGATAACATGGTTCTTACTTTCTTAGCTTCTGAGGCGGATTCGTTTGCTCATACAGACTCCCTATTCCAGTTTGATGCACCGAAGACTCCCATCAGTGATAGCTGGGCAAACTGGGATCCGAATGACTGCATCCCTCAGAACGACAAAAAAACGTCTAATCTGCTTCAGAAAGACGTCACTTGTACCCCTAAGTCGAGGGACAAGGCTAAATCAGGGAATAACAATCCCGAGACTCCGAGACGTGCTCGCAGTGTCCCAGCCATCTCACCTTTCAAGTCATTTCTTGATAGCGAAATCAATGAGATCTCAAATCTTCCAGAGTCCGAAATATTTGACCCTGGCTCTCTTTTTGATTCGCATTTAACGAATTCATGGTCGAAGGATAACACTAATACTTCCCCTCGGGCTAATGGCACCATGGAAGGCCTTGACCCAGCGGTCTTTGCGGCAATGATGCAAGAAATTCGGGATTCTGCTAGAAGTCAATGAATCATTGCAATAGAACGCGGAACTACCTATCTCCTCCCCACCATTCCCTCTTTCACTCTTTTTCCTCCTTTTCTTAAACACAAATGCTTACCACTACGGACCAGTGTCATTTGGATGGTGCCGTTCCAGCCGTGCACCCTTTTGCGGTAAAGGTCTATTCTATTGGATTGTTTCTACTGTTTTCCTGTTTTCCCGACCCTTTATGTTTATGATGATACATTGTAGAATATTAACGACTCCATGTTGCTAGCGATGCATAACTTTGAGAAGAGCGTTGGTTGGGTAGACTGTACTTGCTACCAGTGATCAGTACCACGCGCTTCATTCTATGATACTGCTTCCATTCAATAGATATCAATTATAGCTATTTCTGTCCTAAGGATTCATTAACAATCGGTATTTAATTTTATGTTGGATTAATTAAAAGATGGTGATCTACTGCCGGACCATGTTATAAGGTTTCCTTTGTCGTACGACATATACTTTATTTGATTACTCGAGGTTCATCTATTAATATTGGCAAATCTTAAAACTGGGTGGAAGTTGACCTCCGTATTTTCATTATCATGACTCGAGAGCACCCAATTTATCCCAGGATAACTATCGAGTACTATGATGTTCACCACTTAGTCAAGGCAGTCAAGGGGCCACATGTATATCTGTACGTCCATATTTTCTTCAAAGAAAATTCCAGCAAATGAACATCAAGACCAAGCTGGTGTGCTGTCCTTTTGGCTAGTGAAAAAAAATGCCATTTTACTTGACCTGGTGCAGTTTTTCAGGCAGCTATTTACGTCATAAGTCGTCCATCATGCTCCTCGAATACCCTCAGCCCGAGTCGTAAAAAATAGTCTTGAACCTATGTGTATTTTCCACAACTTGCTCATAGATCTTATAGTCTGTTATATTGGTACAATCAGTTAATTTGGTTTTGGTTTCCAGGGAAGGAGAACTACACTGGATAAACTCACCAACTTCATGCGGGCTGCCACAATCTGTAGCCCCAAATACTCTGAGACCAAGACTCTACATCAAGATTAGCCACGATATTAGTTTCTATAGTCCATGAATTTTTATTCTTGGGAGATGCTTACACCCTCGACTTCGACAACTTTTCCAACCACATCGACCATTCGATCCATCTGTAGATGGGAGTCTCTGTTCAATATGAGGGTGATATCGCCGTGATCGCCGCAAGTGATAGTAGCATATTCTCCGCGTAATGAAGATACTCTGCCCAGTATCCGTACTGCACTCGGAATTCGACCGCTTGTTGGGCCAGAAGAATAAAACTGTTGCAGATATTCGGGGAGAATGCGGGGGGTCACGAGAGACATTCTTTTTGCGATTGAACAGCCAACGCTGATTTATTTCGGATGAAATGAAGCGCACACGGGTATCTCAATCTCTTGCTCAGCCTTATAATCCGTACTGTGTCTCGGTTCTTGAATCTCGGTTGTCATTGATATCGACATCCCTCTTCCAGCCAGTAGTTGTTCATGTACCTATGCAGACGAACCTGACGCGTCTCACGCGTCGTTGACTAAGATTAGTCATCACGGAGTAGGATTATATTTAAGCCGAAATTGGATGAGGCTGAACCTTAAGGTTAGGTATAACAACGGGAACTCCCAAACACTCACAAAAAGACACATACTCGAGACAGTTAGGTGACCGTTGAGAAGGTCTTTGAAATAGTATTAGACAAGCTATTTGCTATACACAAGCTCCCCTCCATTATGCAAGCATTCAGCTTTCATAACTGTACTCAGAAAAGAAGTAACCAACAACATATTCACCAAAGCAATCTTGTGACATGGACCAAAACTCAATCGAGGGGCACCCCGCAACAAACAGGACCAAGAAATACAGGAGAAAATGGAGGTTCAAGATACTCGAGAAAGGTGAGGTAGGAGGGATTTGGAGGGGGGAATAATCTCCGCACTAATAGCGCAGAGTTGGGCGGAACACGTATATGACAGTTGGGAGTTTTGGACCAGCCAAACAGGGGATCGTGTGGGAATTGAAAGCCAGCAATTTGAAAAGGAGTAGAATGGGTTATCAACTACCGACCGGCTTATATTTGTGGTTCCACTGAGTCCTCATGGCCATGATGTTGTTTTGGTCTTCAACAAACTTGCTGTTTTCCATGGAGAACTCTCGTCGTCCCGCTCTGCGTTGCTTGACGCAGCAAAATGCTATGATTGCCATACCCAGAATGACTAGTCCGCCAATTGAAGCAAAAATAGCGATTTTGGCCGCGGCGGGTAGTTCTCGCCATCTCTGTGCCAGAGACTTAGGTGGGGGCTTGTTGATCTCATTTGCGATGTCGGAAACACCACTAGACAGAGTCGTTAGTATCGACCGTATAAAAACATGACCACTGTTATCGAAGCAACTGAGGCAAAGAAGCAGCAACTTACTCTATCACTTTAATGCTCTGCCAATCGCCTGACCTGTTAGAGTATGAATATTCCGTCCCTTTATGTGCGTCAACAACCTTCAACTCCTTGACGCTCATAATATACGGCGTTTTCTCATAGTCGATTTCACCGCCTGCCCACTCAATAACTCCTTTCTTGTTATGCGGATCTCCACCAGGCCAGATACCCAATCGCACAGTGGAGGGAGTTTGAGGAAAGTTTTTCCCTCCAAGAGCTTCTTCGTACTTCAAGGTTCGGACAAGTGCGGTATCGATATACCATTCAATCTTCTCCGGTGTCCAGTTGACGGTATAGTTATGGAAGTCGTCCATGGCTCCTTTAATGTCGAAGGTCTTACCGCGATCATAAGAAGTCGTGTTTCCTTTGCCGAAGTAGTTGGTTTGAACTTTGTCTGGTTCCGAGCCAACCCATTCCCAATCGATTTCATCCAACACTTCTGATTGAATGACAATACTACTGACAACTCCTCGTCCAGTTGCAGCCTTCATGTGGACTTCGACGCTACCAAAAAAGATATAGAAGAATGACTGAATAGTCGGCGAATCGAGCGTCTTGTGGATTGTGAAGTTGGCACCAACATCAGAGATTTCGACAAGGCCGTTGGTAGTATTCCAGACATCAGGATTCAGTGAGCTGTTGAGATAGGTGGTATAGTTCTGGCCTAAAGCTGGGGCATTAGGGCAATCATCTTTCTCCAGGGGATTGCAGTACGTGAAGGTCTGGGCGACCACGGGAGATAGGAGACAGGCTAAAAGCCCCAACGACGCTAGGAGGGAGATTCTTCGAGAAGCCATCATTGTGAGACGTTATACGACGTTCGTTAGAATAATGGCAGCAGAGAGGTGCACAAAAGAATGAAAAGACGTCTGCGGATTTGCCGTGGAGGCTCCTTTTTTTTTTCTTTTTAACGAGAGGACGCTATCATGAATCAGTGCGACCAAAAGGACATGAATGAGAGACAATAGGTCACGCCCCTCGGAGGGGGAAAGACTGATGGCAACTGGTGGTTATGATGAATATGAGAGAAGGAACTCGATGTCGAACGTCGAACGTCGAACGATCGAACTTCGATGGCACCCCCTTCCCATCGTTATTATTATATGACGGGGGCTTTCGGACCATGAAACAGCACCCGACTGCCTCATGCTGGTTGGTCTACGGTGGATCCACTTGGCATTAGTTTGCAACTGGGACCTGACCACTAAGCCCTCTGCAGCTAGTACCCCCAGAAGTGGTTGAAATTCAAGGAACAAAGATAGGCTATTTTTGGAGAGCAAAAAAGGGGTGCAGGCCTTATTTTCTGCAGAGACCCCCTGAGATCGTCTGCAAGATGGATGTCGAATAAATGGAGCAATCACGTCCAGGGCCTTCAGAAATGCTCAAAGTCACACAGCTCATCACAGAGCATCCAGAGTACTCTGTAACTAATCGATAATCCACGCATAGATCGTCATGAATTCCTGGCTCCATCCCTAGACTTTCCTTTACCCCCTTGCTGCCTCGTCAAACAGGCAAAGGACTGGCAAATTTCGGCTGAAACTCTTTTGCCTGAGGCCGCCCATTCCGCCACAAGGCAGGCTATATCGCTCGCTTCACTTGGCAACCTCATCAGTGGCCAAAAAGAAAAGGCCTTCTCCTCTCTCGCCCGGAAAGACACTTTATCACACTTTATCGGCTGCAAATCACTGAAACTATAAAAAGGCGTATCACGTGAAGACGTCCTATGTAGACGGTAACCGAATCCGGATCATAGATTATGTAATGTTAATCCGGGTAAATGGGAAGCTTATCTAATGAATATCTGATTACTAATCATGACGGTTATCGATAAACTAGTTACGTGGTCCAAGCTTCAGCTTTCTGATACGAAGAAAAAGACCTCAAGTCAGTTCAAAAAAACACACCCACTACAGCTATCTCTCCTTCACTACCATGTTTATAGTCATATAGCTATATAAATATATATCTATATCAATAAGCATGGCTCCTCCTTCATTTCCGAGTTTTGGCCGTGGCACAGCCGCGAAGCGCATGCAACCGGCAAAACGTTATAGACCCGGCAAGCCTATCGCAGATGAAGTTGAATCGTCCGAAGAGGAAGAAGAGGAGGAAGAAGAGGAGCAACCAGAACAAGTACCGCAAATTCGGCCTCCTCCAAGCTCTAGGAACATTACTTCAGGCGTTCGGCAAGTCAAATTGGAGGAGGAAGAGGAGGCAGAAGATGAAGAAGGGTTTGTAACTGAAGAGGAGGAAAATGTTGACGATACCCCCTCTAAGCCCCAAGCACACGCTACTTCCGATAGACCTTCCGATAGTTCAGTGTTGCTAAAGAAAGAAGAAGCGGAAAAATCAGAAATCGAGGATGAGTCAGAGGAAGAATCAGGTTCAGAGGAGGAATCAGAAGAAGAAGAGTCCAGTTCAGAGGATGATGGCCCAAAGAGGCTACTACTTCGTCCAACGTTTATAAAAAAAGGCGATCGTAAAGCCACAGCAGCTTTAAGCAATGGTGGTCATCTTGCGACCTCCTCATCTGCCCCGGACCCCGACGCGGAAGCTGAAGAACTCAAACGGCGGAAAGATAAAATAGACTTGCTGATTCGTGATCAGTTAGAAAGGGATGCTGCCGCTCGGATAGCTGGTAGAAAGACGTGGGATGATGACATTGACGAATCCGGTGCAGGGGTTGATGAGAACAATATTGACGATACAGACGGCATTGACCCAGCTGCTGAATTAGCCGCTTGGAAACTCCGCGAGCTCAAGCGTGTTAAGCGCGAACGGGAAGCCATTGAGATTGCCGAAAAGGAACGAGAAGAGATCGAACGCCGTCGTAACCTAACTACTGAGGAACGAGAGCGTGAAGATCGTGAATTCATTGACAAGCAAAAGGAGGAACGCGAGGCCGGAAGAGGAAAGGCTGGGTTCATGCAACGATATTTCCACAAGGGTGCATTCTTTCAGCCTGACTCGGAGAAACATGGTCTCACTGAACGCGACCTTATGGGTGGCCATTACGTGGACGAAATTAAGAACCGCGAGGCTTTGCCAGAGTACCTCCAAGTAAGGGATGCAACCAAAATTGGACGCAAAGGCCGAACGAAGTATCGTGACTTGAAGACAGAAGATACTGGAAGATGGGGGGTCGAAAACTATTATCGGTCAAATGCGCCTGCAAGCAGTGCTGCTCGATTCGGTATTAAGGACGAACGATTCCTTCCCGATAATAGAGATGGAGACTTCAGGAGGCCATCCGGGCCATCCGGAGCAAATGCAAGTGAAGTTAAAGAACGCCGCCTTCCTCGCTCTAGATCTCATTCGCCTCCCCGTCGACGAGACCACTCGAGGTCAAGATCAAGATCTCCTCCGCGAAGAGATCGGTATCGTGATGATAATGACAGAAGCCGAAGGAAACGCAGCCCTTCGCCATACCACGATCGTGATAAAAGACGGAGAGTAGACTCCGTATCGTAGCATATACCTTTCAATTATTTGTTTCATAGCACTAGTTTCATTTTATGCATCTTTGGGAGCCTGGGTCTAAAATGTATTTTTAGCATGTTTTTACGGAGGTGTTCTCAAAATGAATATCATCTAGCAGCAACATCAATCACCCGTCTTGACTAGAGGCCAATGCCCAACATCATCTCATTATACGCTGAAATCGAAATGTGACCCGGTACGTGTAATAGTTGAACTTCAAGAGCTCTGTATATTTGAATAAGCAACCTACCTCCCAAAGTCGACCCTCCTCCTTTCTAAAGGTAGGTTCCCTAACCGTGAACGCCGCGCTCTGAAACTCAGGATAACGCATAAATGCCCCAGAAATGCATGACCGGAAAGAAATCTACTTTCGATCAATAGCTGAAATGGAACCCTTATGGCAATAAATTGAGGAGCAATCATTTAATCCCAGCACGCTCCAAAGTCTTTTCTCTTTCCATAACAGAGTCTCCAAATTTCACTAGAAATACAGTTCGACTGGGCCAAATATCATTTCCTTGATTATGAGCGGTCACAGAAGCTTCGAACCCGCAGCCATCGCATACACCTTCAATAATACCGGCAACAAAGGCCGCACAATTCAACATATTCATTTCTTTTGGCACAGATATGTATGTATTCGTTAATGGGTCGTTGTCCGTGATCATATATTCGTTAGGTGTATTTGGAGAGACAGAATGTTCAAGAGCATCCGCTGGACGTGAAAATAGGAGCTTCCATAGGGGTCCATGAATCAGCTGGAGGAGTGGAAGAATGCGGAGCGGCCTGACAGGTTGGTTACTTGAGGACGACTGGGACGTCAAGGTACTCGTTGTCGACGAGCCAGTCAAGGATCGATATAGAAGCAGGTCAAGTAGACGGAGTCCAAGAGGGTAGCCTTGTTCGTTAAGCCTATGTAGTCGATTATTAGTAAAATAAAGGTACTTCGATGTATTTCTAGCAAGATGCAATTGCTTTACCGTCTTTCTAGGTCTTGAATCCCTGTAACTCTTCTTTGGGCATATACCACCATCTCAGAAAAGATATAACCAAAGCTGGCCTTGCTAAGCTCTGCATTTCGCGTACGGTTTAGGTTCCGGTCATATATAGTCTTGCGATTAGAGGGAACCCGTAGTCCTGTTGAGGGTTGGCTCTGCGACGGCTGCGGCGAACGCGGGGGGGCTGTCTGTCCCCCCGGTCCACCCAACCCAGTACCTGCAATCGCACTTGCAGAAGAGGCGTGCCCATGGGCCCTTGGAGGTGCGCTCATTGTAACTTATTGTGAGGGGATAATGTCCAGACTTCGTCAACAGGGTGGGATAACCGAGCCCTGTCCGTTACGCGGACAAATCTGGTGGTTTGGTCGCAGCGTCGTGAGTGTAATAGACCTTCGTGGCCACTGATTTAGCAGATAGGGAACGGTTTCTTAGCGTCAGGACGTATTCTCCAGTCAATTGGTTGTTATTTGATCCTTTGCGATGTTTGTGTTGTGGAGGACGTTAAGTTGGTTAACTAAGAAAGCTCCCGTGAACATCGCCAAGCCGAGATCAAGCGTCTGCTTGTACAGGTAGCTCGTTACCCACTACGCCATGAACTGCAGCAAGCAAGCCGTTGACAGTTTTGATTTGATTATTTCTTGTATTATGTAAATAAGAAGATCCTCGGTTAGCGGTCTATCTGTAGCCTGACGTGTTGGGTGGGATATATTCCATGTTATTATCCATAGGTTCTTATACCAACTTGGACGCTCCTCATGCTTTCTCAAAGAAACAGATACCGATACAGAGAAATATCTATACCGCAATGCAACCAACTATATAGTATAATCCTATTCATAGCTAGGCCGATTCAGACCGCAACCAAAAAGACGCTAAGGGGCCTTGGGCTGCTCCAAGTACTTGCTGTCATATGGCTTCTGTTGTCTATGCCTACTATTCCAGTTCAACGTGCGGGAAATATTTTGGATCCATTCATAGCTGCGGTGACCTGAAGGTATCACGTTGGCAAATGGGAACCTGGATGCAGAAATTGTAACGTAGTCTCCAGGATGTAGTTCAATTCTACAAGCATGAACTGTTAACTGGGATGCAGTTTGAATGCTGAAAAGCTAAGTACGTACCTTTCACGACCATCGAAACTCGCCCAGGAGCTTGTTCGGGCATCATAAGGAACCCCTATACGTAGAACTATAGTATCCGGAAGTATTATCGGCCGGAAGTTGAGTGTATGAGCACAAATTGCTGTAAGAAGGATAACGGGGTTTTCGGGGTGTGATAGGGAGCCGCCAGCGGCAAGGTTATATGCTGTAGATCCCGTTGGAGTGGCAACGCAGACACCGTCAGCCTGGACGGATGTAAAATGCTCATCATCTCCAAATATCTCGAGAGAAGACATTGCTAGAAAGTATGACAGTTAGGCCACGTATATAGACCAAAAAGTGAATGAAAGGGCAGTAAATTATGACATACTTGGATTTGGACCACGATCAACGACAATCTCATTAAGGATTTGAAACATTTTGTCAGGGGAATGCGTAACGTTGTCATCTGATTCTTCCCCGATCAGCTCCTCGGCAAGATCTCTTTCTATTTGAGGTTGGCCAGAGGACCTCCGCCTGCTCCGCATCACGGTGCATTCAAATCGTAGCCGTAAGCTGACAGTGACGCCTTCAGTAAAGGCTCGCTGTAGTGTTTCCTTGTAGTCATCGAAATCGAATTTCGTTAAAAATCCCAGTGACCCAAGAGAGAATGATAAAACCGGGGGTACGACACGTTGGAAGAGCCAGCTCGCATATAATACTGTCCCATCTCCGCCAAGGGTGATAACGAAATCGACCAGGTGATGGTGATCTTCGATGAGACAGTTGTCCCAATACTTCAGTCTCTGTTTTGCGGTCGGTTCTTCCTTGCATATGCTCTCTGCATCGAATTGAGAATCATTTTCCAGCCTCTTTTCCACGTAGACTGTGTAAGGAACTCTCTGCTCTGGTCCGAGAAGCCAGCTTGTAACCTCTTTGGTTAACCGAGCCAGACTCTGATCTTGAGGCTTCGTCAAGATGAATATGCTGTGGACATTGAGCTTCAGCTTCAGACTGCCCAGTTTTTTCGACAATGCACGCACATTCCAAGCCATATCAGAGAGCTCTCTCTTCGTTAGGAGCCTTGACGGCCCAGAGGTATTGTCGCCACCATCTTCGAACTGCTGGCCAACCGACGGCGTCACAGCTTTGCCGTGCTCGTCGATATTATCGAGCTGGACAGCTCGAGGTTGCCCTAGCAGGGAGTGCACGAAGCAAGCTGCCTGGTCTGAAGGCTGCGTTTCGTGTCGACGGGCAAGGCGCGGGGTATCGGGAGAGACAAACGAGGATTTGCGGCGATGACCACTGTCAGACTCAAACACTACCTGCAAGAAGGGGGTTGCGTTAGCAGTTCCGCATTGCATATCGAACAGGATAGGTCAAGTCTGGCCTGCAACAGCCAGGAAATGGCAGATGTAGCGCTTTTTTTCTTTTATGTTAGTGCCTGCGGGGGAGCATAGCACAGACATAGTACCTACCTCCAGGTGATGGCGAATCTCGGCATGATCCTCCATGAGATTCTGCGGGTGTTGTGAGACTATCTAGAGCAGGGAAACTGTACAGCTTGCATCTTGAGAGCTTCGGGTTACCTAGTTGGTGTATCTGAGCTGGTTCTCTCGGCTTATGACAGCATTTCTTGATGGTTGGACTAGCTTGAGACCAAGGAAGTCCAAAGAAGGTTTTTAGCCTCGGCCTTATTTCGATGACCACAACAAACATACAAGTAACGACGACGACGATTAATATTATTAGAATGTTTTTGGCAAACAAGGGCAACAACAGCAGCACCAGCGATCAGCAGCTTGATCTCCGAACAAAGGCTGCTTACTCCCTGCGGAATACACGGACACGATTCCCGTCGGGAACGGACGGGTGGGTATATCGAAAGAGACAGGAGGACCAAAGTCAGCAAGGTCGGGTCTATATACACTTACGTACAACACTGAGCATCGCGATTTAGCGCAAGCAAGAAGCACAAAGTCAACCCTGGCGAGGGGTGTTATGATAGATAATACGCGTGCTGAATGGATAGGAGATGCTGTGTTGCCATAGGCCTTGTCGACATGCTGTGGAATCTACAACGTTTGCGGGTTTAGAGCACAAAAACACCACAGGGCGCAGGATAGCCTACAGCCTCATCCCAAATCCTCCATAGCAAGGCAGGCCTAGTTATACGATATACAGCACCAATCTTGCTCAGTGTTGCAACAGCTGCCTGGTTAGGCCACTTGGACAAAGCTCGTAAGAGCATAAATGCGTTGAGATGCACCATCTCTCCGTGGCATACCCTGGCACGAGATCGATAGAGTCAAACAAGCACTGGCAATGAAAGCCAACGGAGACTCACGGAGTCAAGGAAAGGAATACACGCATGTTGACTTGTAGCTTCGCTTCTGTGTTCATCCGAGATCTTCACATACTCAGTAGGAGGATTACACAATACCGGATGCAACCCCAGATTCCAAGTTGGCACCCGTGCCTGCTCAGCCCTCTCCTATATTTCTCCTATATGACAAATGTGCCATCTTATTCACTCACCTCATATGGGTGTAAAGGTCGGCCAGAACATCCTTTCCATGTGTGGCCCATTCAAGCGAGATGCCCAGTTAGATCAGCTCCCTTGTGGCAGCAGCAAGATATATTGATTTGGGCTGCCAAACTCGATGTCAAGTATGATCCGTCCGTGTGTGTGTGTGTGTGTGTGTGTGTGTGTGTGTGTGTGTGTGTGTGGTATCATTATCGCCTCCATCACCGAATCAATCTATGCTCGAAAGCGTCATGCTCCTGCGAAGCATCCACATAAGTGCAACGGTTTTAATGGAAAGAAAGCATTATGACGAATAAATCTTGCAGGCGGGCCGTGTTTTTATTTTATTATATTTTCTTTTCTTGCCTGTTTGGTCTAGCAAAAAAAAAAAAAAAAAAAAAAAAGACAAGGAAAAAGGAAAGGAAGAAAGAAAAGCGGGAAAAAGAGAAGACGATCTGACCAGAAATATCTATCTCGGCCGCATCGCAGCTCAAGCATGTCGAGTAACATGAAGCCCAAAGTCCCTTACGTGGTGACTGCAGGAAGTCTAACGTGATTACTGGAATCTGCATTCTCTCTGAGGGCTAACCACATTCATTATATTATATTAAAAATTCGTCAGTTTGTTTTCCTCCTCTTATTGACTTCAAAGGGTCATCGACTCGGTCAGGTTGCACATGATGGCCATTCCCTTGGGCCACGATAGTGGATTGTGAATCAATCTGGCATCGCGTTGAACACACTCCAGCCAGCCTTTTCCATATTGGTATGGTATCAGCAAACGCGCCTTGGACCAGACGACTTTGATCGACGAAGAGTCACGCAAGGACATAACAGTACTTTTATGTGTCCTGTATGGTTTGACTTACGTGCATGGAAACACTCAAAAATTACCCAGCCAAACCTTGATGAGCTGGGTGACTGGTGGGGTCGGTGTATCAACAGCGTTCAAGCTGTGAGATGACCGTGGAGACCCCATGGGAAATAATATTATTGAAGGTTTCATCGCAAGGAAAAAAAAAAGTCAACTCGTGAGGAAGCAGGCAGGGATCGAGGGAGGGGGATTGCCAGATGAGTATCCAGGTGCCCAACGTGTTGGCGGAGTTACACTTGCAACAGAGAGGCGAGGAAAGAAACAACACAGATCGAAGCGAGAGTCAAAGAGGAAAAAGGAAAGAAAGTACGAAAATAGGAAAGCAACGAAAGACAGAGTAGTCAGCTGTGTGCGTGATAGCCCTGAAATTGGCCGTTTGTCTCTGGTCCGCCTTCTTCACTATCAGCCAAAAAGGCCGAAAGGATGGACAAGGGAAGGAAGCAAAAAACATGCGGTGAACAAGAAAGCGAAAAGGAAAATAAAGGGAGGACTACCTCAGATCTTGCGGTCCGTGGGGTTTTAAACTTTCGAGACTCAGAAGGTGTGGCCTTGTGCGGCATCGGTTTGCTCCAAATTGTCTATCACGGAGAATCCTGGTGCGTGGTAAAGGATGCAGAGAGTTGGTGTTGGGTACTGGCCATGGTGCTGGATGCCTGGACAAGCCGGGATAATCTCCACTGCAAGCAGAGAAACATGGCTCCTCCTGAAGGGTATTATTATTATTATTATTATTGGATATGAACGAGAATGAAGGGAGTCTCTGGCGATGAAACGTCCGCGGGACCTGGGCAAAGCGGACAGACAGTCACTAATACTTTACCGCCATGCTAAGATGCGTGAAGGAGAAAGATCTTCGGTCGATATTAGAGTTCCTTCACAGGACAAGCAATAGCATGAAGGTATATACTTATATACTCCATAAGTATATAAAAAGTCACCGGCAGCTCCGTCAAAGCCAATCAGGCGGCTTGCTTAACTCCTGGACCGAGGGAGTTCGATAATTTGCTTGCCCGCCAGGGTAGCCATCTTATCCATCCACGTCCAGGACTAAGGAGGGGTGAGAGAGATGGGGATGTGACTTTCTCTTTTCGAATGTGTTGAGCCAAATGGCGGGAGGTTCTCGAATGGAAACACCAGAGTGGGACTAATAATGGTACTCCGTACACAGACAAAGAATACTTATAATACGCAGGACTAATTATGTTGACCCTTTGGGTAGGGGTAACTGGCCTTTTGATTGGTTTCTGCGACTCTCCTTCTACTTACTTATGGAGCTAATTCCGCCACCCAAGAGAGCTGCGTGAAGGGCAAGGGGATGAACTATCATCTGATTGCATTACAGACATACTATGCTTGCAAGGTATAGGTGTGAACACTGTGCCTCCAGCTGGTGTATATGCACATCTTTTATGATCATATACGGAATACGTACTCCGTATGTGTCGACATAAAAAAGGTTGCATGTATATGCCCAGCTAGCAATACAAGACGACAAAAAAGAAAACAAAGCAGCTTGCATGATGCCTCAAGGGAAGGAAGAGAAGCAAGCAGAGCGAAAGGTGAGTCACAACTCCATGACGACTATCTTAAACTAGCCCGTGATATCACCATCGATGGGAGTGCATATCAAAAGACTAAGTTGGAATTGAAATGTCGCTCGCTCCCTCGCTCACAAAGACCAAACAGAAAGCCTGCTTGGCTGCCTGGTTTTCTCGCAAAAGGGCGCAACAAGAAAGCAACGAAGCCCCTGCGCCTTAACCCAAAAACCCCAGGCGCACACAGGGAAGACATGTCGCAGGACGATGTCCTCCGTTTACACGAGGCAGCGAGGGAATATCCGACAAGTAATTGCCATGCTACGGTAGGTAAGTTAAGTAAGTTAAATTTAGATTGGCTGATGCGTCAGACCAGGAATGAGAACTCCTGGATGGCAAGGTACATGTAAGACTGCTTCCATCATCATCAAGACATGGTTAGGCATTACTGAGAAGGCTCAAAATCCCCGCCAAGGTAACTGGGGAGGGAAGAACCGAACATCCATCTGAATCCCAGGCAGCGGCTATGGACATGGCAAATTGACCACTAAAATTTGGGTAATGCAGCTCTCAGGGTTTGGCTGGAATCCCAGCTTTGGAATCCTAGCTTCAGGATCAATTTTGCAGAAAAGGTGAAAAAAAAAAAAGAAAGAAGAAGAAGAAGGCAGCAAGGGAGAAAAGAAAAAAGCAAGGTTGTTGTAAAAATAAATGCTGCAAGCTCACGATATGATCCATGGAACGGAAGGGGGATACCTACGCAGGTGGGTTCGACGCAGTGGGCCATAGGGATGACAAGCGAAACGTTTTTCGATTTACGATTACACTTCGATGTGGAGGTTCGAGAGATATGAAAAAACTGTGCCGGCCGCGTGACAGAGATGGATAGAACGGAAAGATGGAGCGAACGATATATTTGAAATAATAATAATACTACGACAAGAATGAATTATCTCTGTGATCTACCCCGTAACTCAGTAGTGGTGCGCACGGTGTAGAAAGGCGGAAACAGAAAAACAAAGGTGGAAGGGGGAAGAGGGATCAATCAACCGCTACTTTGTACTCAGGCAGTTTCATCACTCTGTCCTTCAGCGGTTAGAACTGAGGTTAGCGAGTGAATATATCAGACGATGTATTTTTTTTTTTTTTTTTTTTTTTTTTTTTTTTTTTTTTTTTTTTTTTTTTTTTTGGACGCTGACGATGCCTTCATGTATTACTGCATTTGGAAGTGGGAAGCGGCCAGCCGTCTTCTGGATACCGCAGGTCACTGTTTGAGAGCAATAATCCAAGTCGAGAGATGGACTGCATAAGTAGGGCTGGGGGCGTCGAAGGTTGAAGGGCGGCGATGTCAGCCAGCATGCTAGACTCCGTAATCAACTAGCCCTGTCAGAGTTGAGTTGTATATAGTGTTGCATAACATCGATGCATCTGGCGGACGGAAGTAAAAGGATGCCATCATCAGCCAAAATGAGGAGGAAGCTAGTATCATATGGAAGTAAGTTGGAGGAAAAGCAGAGAGGAAGATGAAAAAAGCAAAAGGGGGTTTTAACTCCATAGAGAGACCAGCCATGCGCGTGGAACTCTTCCCAAAAGGAACCTGCGGGCCTTTTTCAACTCTGTTTTTTTGGACAAGCCATGTTCTTCGAGCGCTTCGATTCGTGAAAAGCGATCATTAGCACTTGGGGGCGGCTCCTTTGAGTCGGATGGAGGCACCCGAACTTGCCACACAAGCGGTAACTTGTCCACGTCCGTGGACTCAGGAGGGCTAATTAAGTGCCTCTTCCCCTTTCCCGTATTATTCTAGCTCTTATTTCGGAGTGGCTCGCTCGCGCACACCAAAGAAGCGGAGAGAGAGACTCAAGGCGAGGGCTTGGGGCCTTTTCTTGACTCCCTCGGTTATTAGTTAACCATCTGCCACGATGAACCGTTGCTAGCAAGGGAAGTGGACGCGTGGATGAAACGGTTCATTCCGTCGTAAGAATGTGCTTACTCCGTATACTAAGCAGCAAGTACCCTATACGGCAGACGGGACTCCGTATAGCCTCAGTCAAGGTGGCAGAAGTTACGGATACTCCGTAGATAGGCCTGTCGATATCATCACTTATGTTTTCCTGCCTTGCTCCGGATATATAACCCCATGTCAGTCAGTCCTGGGTCGAGGTCCCTGGATCAACCCTGGCAGCCCTCGTCAGGGCTGAAATAAGTAAGTACATGGTAGGATACCTGTAAGATAAGAGTATAATATCATCGGGGCGGGCCCTGGATCGTATATATCCTCCATCACCATCTCCGTCCTCCATCGACTGGCCGCTGCTTGTTCATGCGTTGCATGCGAAGGAGGAAGAAGCAAAGACGACGACGGGCAGCACATCCCAAAGCGGCAACTGGGGCTGCACATCTCCTTTTATGCCGTTAGTCAGCCGTCACGCCGTGGTAATACCGTGTACTGAAACCCAACACGACAGCCAAGATGGTGAAAATACCACGTATATATTACGTGGATGTGACGAGTTTCGCCCCTTTATCCCCTTATCCAAAGCAATATTCCATCCCCATTATCGACTAGCCCAGAGCCCAGGAGTTGAGCAGCAGTCGTACTCCGCAGCTAGATGCAAGTACAGTGATTCATTCAGTCAACCCTTACTCCGTATATCCCTGCCAGTGGCCGTGTAAAATACCCATGATGCTTTTGATACCGGCGGCGGCGGGGGGGGCATCTGGCTGCGAAGATCGATAATACCAGCCAGTTCGAAAGCGTATGCTCCGTATTCTTAGTTAGGTACTCCGTACTCCGGACATCTTCTCTTATTACTATGCTCCGTCTGGCGTCCTTCCTTTGGCGAGCGAGAATAATGCTCCGTATTCGGCAATATGTATCCTCTTTTCTCAGCCCCATTTCTCGCTGGCTTCGAGAAGGACAGGCATTCGAAGCATCTTCTTCTCCCGGTTACCAGGATCTGGTGCGGACATGCCGTGTCCTGGCCACTTAAAATTAGTTGAGTCAGATATGGAAAGAGTAACTCTGTAAAAACAGAGATCTTAAAATGTAAATGGAGGATGCAGGTTACTGGCGGCTGGGTCTATCAGTTTCCAGTTTGAGGGGAGCTGATATATGCTTGGATGCCTGGCTCCTGTGAGAGTCATATTGCCTGGCTTGCATATCACATTTCATTCATCTTCCTTCCTTCCTTTGACCCGCTGGCCCGGTCCCATACTGCCCTCATCACAGACTCGAGCTCAGAAGGGAGGTGGCAGGAAGAGAGAAATATTAATCAAAAGAGGAAGAAAAGAAAAAATGTTGCTGCCTGAGCGACCTGTCGATAAGATACTCGGTGGTAGGGTTTTTATCTTCCGTTAAAATATGTATGCAGCCTGCATCTTGCATTACCCATGTGCGACGCAGTCGGTGCAACTATTAATATAGGAGCCAGCCCATCCGTATCTGAGTTGTGATTGCGACATTCGCTTCGGCGAGAGTTCCGCTGTGCTGCTGCATGCCACTGCGCATCATTTCGACTGGTATTTTTGATATCCAGCTGCTCAGTCCTGCGGTTTTGTCGGTACGTACACACGGAGAACCAACTCTTTCAACAAAGCTGTTAAAGGGGTGATCTGAGCGTGTTGGCTGGCGCTTAGGTTTGGTTTTTTTTTTTTTTTGGCCCTTTTCATATGTCCTTCATTCCTCGTCATCGTTGGGGACCCTCCCCCCTCTCCCCGTAAAAGAGATAATTAGTATCCGAGATCGTTTGTTCCACTTCTGTTCCGCCTCTGCCTTGTTGTTTCATGCTACCCGCCTTTTTCTCTGTCCTGTGAAAACCATACACGGAGAGTCGTGAGTATACTTCCATGGAGTATCACAGTTAGTGTGTCCTGTGGGTCGTGGCATGTTTCTCCGTTGGTAAAAAAGAGCGAGAGTCAGAGTCGCTCTCCTGCTTCCTTGCTGATCACGCCTGACAGGAATAACAACTCCGTACTCCATATGTAGCCCCAAATGGCGATAAAATCGGCAGCCTCTACGTACTCATTCCGTAACACGAGAGGAAGAGCATGCAGCTTGGCCGCAAGGTTCGCTCTATTTACCTCTCCATCAAGTAGCTTGACGAGCGTGGCGTAGGGGGAAGCCAATAGCCCAAGAGACGAGCGATCTGACGCTGTTGGCTGAACTGCTGCAGGCTTGGGGACTGAACTTGCATGCATCCATCGCCATCCATGAGAGGCAGAGCAGCCCAGCTGGGTACTCCAGGGAGCTGATAGTGTGCAAGCCAACAGTTTGACCACCACCATAGTGAGAGACACATACTCTTGGTCGTTGTATCCTTTCTTCTCCTCCTTCTTTCTTTTATATATATATATATTTATTTTCAACGCTTTGGCGCTTTTGGTACGGACGTGCGATGTTTGTTCCCCATTACTCTGGGAGCCGGGATGCACCTTGGTCCGTTCATCCACGCTCCCGTCCAGCTGCTGTTTTGTCCCTCTCCCTTCCGTGGAGAGAGCGAACAGGTCAGGCTAAATCAACAAGAGAGATTGTCCGAAGCCAGCGTGTGATTTGCCATCGAAACCGCTGCGTCCACATCGAAGGAGCCCAAGAAACCCTAGATAGACCCACGCTCTCTTGCGATCTGGATCCAAGCACTGGATTGGCGTCTCCGAGAGATTAAAATACGGCGGCGCGCATCACGTCACAACCGTGGATGGCGGGCGGTTCGGTGGGCGTCTTTTTCGTTTCTTCTTCTTTCTTCTGGGCCTTCTTTTGGATCAGACTACTCTGATATTTCTCTCTGTAACGCTATGGGGAGTGCGGAGTCCTCCGTACGATCCGGAGTAGTATGTATTATTGCTTCTTCTCCTTCTTCTTCTTCTTCTCCTTTCTCCTTTCTCCTGCTGCCTCCTGGTCCTTCCGCATCTTTAGTCGGAGGTGTGACCGACGCTCCTCTGCTCTGGCTTGACGCTGAGCTTCTTCCAGCAACCCTGAACTACACTGAACTATCAAGGATCCCCATTGCCTGGTCAAACACAAACAGGCCCGGGTGCATGGCGGCTGCTGGAGCCATGGGTCGTCCTGCCACTGCATGACGCTGTTCTTCTGCTAGTTGCAAAAATAAATTAAGAGTTATCAAAAAGCAAAGAAAATTATATTATTCAATGCCCGGGTGGATGGGCCTGGATACTCCGTCCGTTCCTCCACTCAGGCGTCCTCTCCTTCTTTCTGCTGCCTTTGCATGTTTCTTTTTTTTTTTCTTTGCTTCTTCTGCTCCTGTCTTTCCTTTCGATGATGTCGTTTTACCTCCATATAATTTTTTATTTTTAATTCTTTCTGCTGATTTTTTTTTTTTTTTTTTTTTTTTTTTTTTTTTTTTTTTTTTTTTTTCCAGTTTTCACAAGTAAAGTATGGAAGATATTCACTACCGCCCGATCTCCACAGGGCCAGCCAGGCTATTATATGAGATCTTCTACATATGAAATCAACCAGCCTCTCAACCTCTTTAGCCCGTTCAGGAGAACTCTATGTGGGCTCGACAAGCTGACAAGCCTGCTGGTCTAAACGCTTGGTATCTGGGAGAGCTCTATGTGTGATATTATTGCCCAGGGACCATCCATATCAAAGAGTGGACTGGCTGGTCTGCCTTAATTTTTCATGCCCTTTACAAAGACCGGCTCTCCCCACATCGCAATGGTCCCTGTCCCTCTTGTCACTGCTTGCTCCTTTTTTCTTTGCTTTTTCTCTTGAGCAAGGACTAAGTCCTTGAACGGTTTTATTTCTCGCTCGTCATAATAGAAAACCGGACTGTATATATGTATATGGCAACGCATCTCCATCTCCGTTACTGACTTCTTCCTCTCTTCTTCCTCTTTCAATACATCAACACAACGCCGGCTCTCATAATACTCTCAAAAAACAACACATACACACCACGCAGCCAGACTCAAGATACACAACGAAAAGATGTTTCAGCAAGGCTCGGGTTATCTTGCTGCTGCTGCATACCCTTACTCAGACACCTTTGATCAGGATATCATCGCGTCGAGACAAGCTTTGCAATCTACTGCCAGAACAATCAGTGCTGAGTCCAGCTCCCGTCTTGCAAGTATGGCTCATCACTCGCCAGAACATACCATGTTAGCACTATCAAACAGACCTGAAGTCCACCGGAATGCTTCGATAAGCGCTGCTAGGTTGTCTCGTCCTGCCTACTCTTCACCAAATACCCCCTTTTATCACCAGCAGTGCGCATATCAGCCGGCTTCTGTGCCTGCTACGAATATGGCTGCTTCCTCATATTTCCCAGGAAACCAGCAGCCACAGTTCTCTCAAGAGCAAACAGTCTCCTCAAACTACGTTTACTCTTCCGCTGATCAGTCATTGTCCTCATTCGGCCAGTACCAAATGACACCGGATGGCTATTACGACACTTACTTTCCTACTTCAGCCATGCCCATGGTCTACACTCAACAACAAGATGTAGACATGACCTCATCTACTTACGACGCCACGCCACTTTCTCACGCCCACCTCTCTCTACCAGCAATGGAAAGCAATACCGCCTTCTCTACTCCTGATTTGCCCGCCAATCAACAATTTCCTGAGCCAAAAACCCCGCCTCCACCAACCTCGTCAAACTCTTCCTGCGAAAGTGTCCGAGATGAAGATGATCTGGTCGGGGTTGGACTTTATGACGAGCCACTGTCTACCTCCTACTGGGACGAATCGCTATCCAGCTCAGTCGACCCGATCCTATATCCTTATCCAGCTGCACGCAAAGGTTTGAAGCTAGAAGAAACTCTCGACCCATCAACTTTAAACTGCAGTGATATGGACGCAGATGGCGACGAAGAGGAGGAAGGAGACGAACAACCTCAGAAGGAACAACCTGTCAAGGATTCTGGTGAACTCGGCAATGCAAATGACCTGAACACTTCAAAAGAAGGCCAGTTGTTCCCGGTGGACGATGATACTTCATACAGTAGCGCCCAGGTGAACTGGACAGCAGCGCCTCCAGTTATGCTCAATAGTTATGCTGCATTCCCTAGATCGTACCAAAACGTCTTTCCTACTATTTATTGAGACCCAAACTTGCGAGACCAATCAGATCGGCTAGGACGCTCTTGTTGCAAATTATTTATCAACATTCTTAGGTAGACAGATACTTTACGCCGTATTAATACTACTCTTGGTCTCTATTTCTCTCTTCTGAACATAGCAAACTCGCCATCAAGAACCATGAAGTCGATTATTTGCAAATTCAATTGATAGCCCTATGTCGGATTAGTCATATTTTAATTAATTTTCATTGGTTAAGTTCTATCAAGCTTTTAAGCTTGAGCTAAACTTTATTTTTTCCAAAAAAACAATTAAGTGACGTGAATTTTTTTGGGTATTTTTCGGCGAACTTCTGGCAATGGAAGGTGAGTAAGTTGAGAGATAGGAGGGAGAGAGTCTCCGGCATTCGGAAGGGCTGTTGGATTTACCCATATTGGCCGTTGTATTTGTCTGCTTTACATTCCATATCAAAGGCCGACGTGACATGGAGAGGCCAAAAATAACGCCGTGGAAGGACCTTTCCCAGCTTGTCTCAGTTCGAGAGCAGTTCTATCGCAAGTCAGACGATGACGAAGATTGCCGGGCCAAGGCTTGTTCGTTGGTGAGACGCGACATGTCCTATGTGTAGAAAGCAAAACCAAGTTATTTCATTTGCGATTTCGCTGATAGCGTGTCGTTTTTCTGTCCTAGGTCTGGGTATGGAAGCTCAGAGGAAATCTACCACATGCAGTCGAAGCTACTGCACTGCTGACGGACGCGATATTACACGACGACCCGGACAAGAATTCCATATTTTCGATTCGTGCTGCCTACTCTCTAGCTTTCTGCAGGTAGGCTACCCATCCGCTGAATTGCAGTTGCATATACTGACTATCACCTTTGCAGATTTGTAACTGGTTTGGTTGATTCAAAGCTCCATGGACGAAAACAGTCCATGTATCAAAAGGCAATGGCCGTTGGTGTACCGGCTTCATTTGTAGAGCTACGCCATGAAGCTACTCATAGGGACTTACCGTCTCTTGTGGTTCTGAGAGATGCTGCTACACGGTCAATGAACTGGCTCTGGGAATTCTACTGGGATAAGATTGACGATGGCAGCCGCTGCATATGTGAACCCTTCCCGGAGGATGAGCCAGAACTCAACGATGATGAGAAATCAGACATCTTGCTGCAGAGCCTAACCTTTCTGCTTCGCCCGCTCATCGACTATATTTATACAACAGCCGGAATTCGTGAACACCGGAACCGAAGAAAACAGCAGCCAGGAGTTAAAGAGGACGCCATTCGAAACATCGTTGCACTATGTCGTAAGGAGAAATTGGCTGGAGCCCAGCTGGTAGAGATCTTAATAGATCGGGATGTTGGTCACCTCAGTTCATGCGGTTACGGGTAAGTTAAGCCATTTATCTCTTGTTGGAGTTTATCATACCGATTCTAAACCCCCCTGAAGAAAGGATGACACGGAAGCTGAGGAGGAAGATGAGGCACTATTCGTTGTTTGGGATGATGTATTAAAGGAGTTATCCCGTTCCTACGAACCGTTCCTTACTTTGTTAGTGGAAGGGATGACAGCCGTCTTAGTCTCCGCCGATGCAGACAATTTCTTGGATGTTGAGGATTGGGGTGACCTAATAGGAGAAACCTTCGAGGAAGAACTATTCCAGTGGCTGGAACATATCCTTACTGACGACGCGTGGGCGTCACTACGCAATCAATACCTTGTCCCAACTCACGCTAGAGCTATCTGCCTTGAATCAGGCTCAGCCGAAGGATTCTGGGCTTCAGAGATAAGCGAGATATTGCCGGGCGCTTATATTCCTCGTAAAACTGAAAACTACACACCGTCCGGCGCTCCAGACCCCTCGATTGACCAAAACCCGGACATAGCTGTGTTACAGAACTACGGGTGGGATTTTGGACAGGCGATATCATGCAGGTCGATAGGGGCCAGTATAGACCCCTGACTACTAAATATCACAGCCTAAACAATTATTACATGTTATATCATTATTAATCACCTCGGCTTCGTCGTACGGAGAACGGAATTCAACATGCCGCCAGATGGCGGATGGTCCGCTACGTGCGATGAACATCTTGTGTTTGCATGTTCAGAATTTGCTGCAAGCTCGTTGGTCGGAGCTGATGTTGTTAATTAGTAAGACACAAACCACCTATCATTTGCTGCGCATTTGGTGTAGGTATACCTATAGCTGGGGTCCTGGTGTATATAGACGATCTGGTCCTTGGTCCGTTGTGATGGAGGTCTGAGTAAGCACCTTTTCTTCTACGTTAGGACGCCTGTCGAGATCTCAGGCCTGCCACATCCCCCTCACCAACGTCACCTTCCTCTCGCATCCATCTCTCATGAACGTAGGAAAAGCCCTTTTCTCGCGCCGGTTGATATCAACAATATCCAAACGCAAGATGCATATCGAGTCGATACCCATGTGTGAGTAACCAACCATCAACCAAACCCAGACTGCTGGCTGTAGGTAGTGGTTGCTGTTGTTGTTGACCATCTCACCATGCAGGGACCGGTACCGGTAACAATTATGCATATCTCATCTCGGATGATGCATCCAAAGATGCCATGGTGGTAGATCCGGCACATCCACCAGAGTGAGCACCATCGGAAGCTGATAGATGCCAGATGATCGCAGCCTTCTAATATCTGTACAGGGTGGTTCCAGTTCTCGCATCCCACATCAATGATGGGAAGATTAATCTAAAAGCAATCATAAACACTCACCAGTAAGTTTGTCGCCTCTTTGCAGTTTCTACGGGTACAACTTCCGAAGCTGATTGTCCAAATAGCCACCATGATCATGCTGGCGGGAACGAAGGGATTGTATGCGACCCCCAATTCTGCGTGCCACAGCCAAATTTTCACATCTGGAATAACACTCCGATGTAGCACTTGTGAACGACCCGCTGACAAGAATTACCTTGATATCTCTATAGCTCAAGCAATTTGGCAAGCTTTCGGTGATTGGCGGGAAAGACTGTGCCCATGTCACCCAAACCCCCGGGCACGGCGAGAAGTTCAAGATTGGGGAGCGGATCACTGTTACCGCTTTACACACCCCTTGTCATACCCAAGACAGCATTTGCTATTTTGCCGAAGATGGGAACGAGCGTGTCGTTTTTACCGGCGATACGCTATTCATTGGGGGTAAGTTATTCCAATAAAGCTATTCGCTCTTACAAAAACCGGCAGTGAGGAATTCTGTTCAACACCTAACAACAATTGGTACGTGTGCATGATGTAGGATGCGGAAGATTCTTTGAAGGTAATGCAATGGAAATGCACAAGGCACTCAATGAAGTGCTTGCTTCACTCCCAGGCGATACCAGAGTATATGTGAGTTGCGTGATCTCCGTTTGGTAATTTTCGCAGCGTGTGACTGATATTCATGACAGCCTGGACATGAATATACCAAGTCAAATGTGAAATTCTGCTCCACGGTTTCCCAGTCGGAAGCTGTTAAGAAGCTGGAGGAGTTTGCCAATAACAACCAGCAAACCCAAGGAAAATTCACTATCGGTGATGAGAAGGTATGTGTCTTATCTCGTTCTTTGTGTTGCTGCCATCGTAGCGAGGCCTGTTTGTGGTTGGTATTATTGTCTATTTGCAAACGATGCTAACGACTTTCCATAGCTCCATAACGTCTTTATGCGTGTCACGGTAAGGATACACCTACCCCCAATCCCCACCTTATTAACCCTATTGATTATATGTCATGGTTAATTAACATTCGCATATAGGACCCTGAAATCCAAAAGGCAGTAGGGGCAACTGAACCGGTCGAGGTCATGAACCGTTTACGAGAGATGAAGAACAAGATGTAGTTTAAGGTATCGTATGTGGCTAGCTGGAAAACAATGACGTGTATGCCCAGCAGTATCTATTAGTATAAAATGCATTAACATAACAACACAACTAGTTTACACCTAGATCTACCCCAATATTGAAATGTTATATTTCTTAAATTCTGCCCTGGTATCTGCTCATTACCCGGCATTATATCCAACTCCGGCCAATACTAATAAGTCTGTCTGGTGTTGGCTACCACATAAGTGGGTAGGTAATCATTACAAACCAACAACAGAGTAAATTCAAGCGTTGCTCTCCCTTGAGCAACATAACCCTACCAAAGAGACCATGAAAAGGCTTACCCAAAGAGATTGTGACGGGACTGGTAACAGGGAACACTAACGACAGCCTTGTTAAACCTCGTCCTACTTTGACGGTTAGACTAACGGATACAACACCAACGCTATGTGGAAAGCCGGAATCGCCAGACACGCCACTTTCAGGTTGCCTTTGTGTCAATGTGATCACTAATAAGGCCGCGGATTGCAGCTGACTCGTGTGTACGGAGCTGCCTGAGATATATATAAATTGATTAAACCTTGCGCAAGAGAATGACCTGTTCCATTTCCAAGCTGAAAGAGGTAAGGAACAAGGGGTTATGAGCTAGTACTACAGGGGAACCGGAAGACCACTCTTGTCCTACTAGTGTATTTTGCCTGAGCTGGCCCTATCTAGGCATCTCACACAGGATCATAGCGGGATTTAAGATACTAAACGGGATCGAACCGGTTGAGGAATTTTTAATATTTGGTACCAACACCGTCTCCCCGTTGGTGGCTAACACGACTATGAATGGATCGGTTGACATGTCTCCCACACAGCCACTTATCTTCTCATAACCCATACTTGAATAGATGTTAGAAGTTAAGACCGGCCACCGGGGTGAGTCTAGCCCAATGGTAGAAGAAGATTGGTGGCTGAGACCCGTAAGGATAATATTGCTTCAGTGTCCACACCTGCTCGTCCTGGAAGGTCGGAAACGGCAAGTTCTAGCATTGTAAGAAGCGAGGGCTGGTTAAACTGGATGGAAAGAATGGATTCTAGGTCCTGATGGGTTAGCATTCTTTTCTTCGGGTACTTGGGTAAGGCAGATCCAAGGTGAGCTTCATTGCATAAGCTGCCTCTCATCATCATAACAAGCTATCATTAGCCATTCAGAGTAAATGGCCGTCATCGCCTTCAATTTCGACAGGTTGATTCAGTGTGCGCAAAAAATTTGAAAGTCGAAAATGGATGAGAAAAGATGGACCTGCCAGTCAGCAACAAAACGTTAAAGTTGGCGGCCCCTTTGATCCTACCTAAAATGGAACGGAATGGAAAATCTATTATCCAAAATGATTACATAATATTAGTAGAAATTGGATAGACCATTTTCCGGCAACAACATGATGGAAAAGTCGATGATATAGACATGAAGATGCAAAGAAGTTGGCAGCAAATATCCGAATGACCAGCCGTGTGTTCGGATTCGGTGCGCTGAGCCGTCACAAGCGCGCGTTTGTATATACCCTCCACCTTGCAGGCACATTCTGCTGGTTCAAGATATTCAATGAACATTTTTACGAGCTCAAGGCCTCTGATGGCCCATCTATGTATCCAACCATTCACTTTCAGGGGGACTGGCTATTGATATCAAAACACTACAAGAATGGGCGTGATATTGAGTTTGGAGATATAATCGTCTATAAGAAACCACATGACTTCCACTCCGAGGTTGCAAAGCGAGTTGTCGGGTTACCTGGGGATTATGTGCTGAAGAACCCTCCATTAAACGGAGAGACGGTTTTGGAGCATGATGCACAGATGATACAGGTTTGTTGATCGTCTATTTCTTTACGGATAGCCTGATATATTCCTGGTATGTTCCGTTGAGGCGTTTTGCTAATGAATTATCATATGTAACAGGTCCCTGAAGCCCATGTTTGGGTAAGCGGCGACGATGCACCATGGTCGATAGACTCCAAGGATTACGGGCCAGTACCAATGGGCCTCATCATAGGCAGGGCTCTAGGAAGGGTCTGGTATCCGTTTAATTACGAACGATTTGAAAACACGTTGAAGCCAGTCACGACAGCTGAACCATAAATTGGAAATACAAAACCCACAGGGCAAAGCTATATAGCAAGGTCTACTCCTAGTTCTAGAGAGGATTGCATATGGCGTTCAAATGATAGTGTACAATACTATAAGGACAAACAAAAAAATTATATCTTAATACATGAATCCTGAACCAGGGATTATCTGAGGGAAGCTGGATTTCTCCTCTTATACGGAAGCGGCTCAACGCGTTTCCTCTTCAGCTCAAGATCGGCTCCCTCAATTCCAAGCTCCTCCATGACAGATGCCATGTTGTCATCCCACTGGGTTCTGAATAGGTTTGCGCCGATTGGCCTCAATTGGTGCCTCGTTTCTAAGCTTCGAAGGCGGGAGTCACGGTTGGCCTTCTCCGCAACAACATTTCGATCCAATGGCTTTTGATCCTTCTGCTCCATCACAAAGATTGAGATTCTGTGGTAAGGACTGCCCTTTAGCGAATAAGGGGCTGTCCAAGGAAGGATAACCTGAGACTCAGAAAGGTCTCCCAGAGAAACGGAAGTTGAAGTAGGCGAAATTGGGACATTAACAGCTAGGAATATAGCCTTGTTGTCAAAGCTGTCTGATTCCAAATTGGGTATGTCTGGATCGACAACGGCAATAGTGACCAGTTTTTCATCTTTATCGAAGGACTGGATATTGAGAGAGGGGGGCACAACGCTGACACGGGAGTCAACGAACACGCCCGGCTGAATTGGTTTCTTTCCGAAAAAGAGCTGGACATCCACGATAGGATCAATATGGGGAAGAACATCGGGAATGACTTTCATCTGTGTCAGTCGCTGAATGAGGATCAATCGTCGGTATTCCCTCCACTTCTGGTTGGCCAGATGCCGGTAGATGGGCTTTGACATATCACCTAGAAATCGTGAGGTTAGCCTCTGATCCGCCCTGGGAACGTGCAATGATAATAAGAGCGAAGGCGTGTATTACCCATTCCATCCTCGAACCGCTTCTTAACCAAAGGATCATTGATATCTGCCAGAATCTTCAATTTCTCCAGGTGCTTTTCCATACTCTTGATCCTCGTTTGATGTTGTGCTTCTCCCCCAACTGTTGCTGGATCCGCTTCACGTAGCCTAGCCAGCCGCGCCCTCTCTTTCTCAATCTGCTGTAGTTTCTCTTCGCGGTCCTCCTGGAGGACTTTTCGGGCCTCCTGGAAGCATTGGAAGGGTAATTGTTCGAACGGGTAGTTTGGTGATCCTTGGAGCGCAGCACGACGTCGACGAGAACCGACTGGGAACTTTCCTGCTCGTATAAGCCTTCTTTCGAGGCGAGGACTCGATACCAATTCCGGGTCGATAGCCTTGTAGAACGACTCTTTGGGGGCTGCTGCTTCTGTTTCGGTGCTGGTCGAAATAGCTGCGGTTGACGAGAAGGAACGGTCCAGCCGCAATTGCGATGCAGCGAGACGGCCTCTATACGCCTGTCGAAGGCATTGCAATATCGGCTTAGAAGCCGCTTCGCAGTGTGCCATTACTGCTATGCCTCGAACAACCCGAGTTATGGTGGTGTTCAATTTGCGGTTCTGCTCGTGCTTCTGGCCGTTTTCTTTTCTGGCTTTCGCTTTTTCCTCTCGAGCTTTTTTTTTAACATGCAAGAAAATCCGCGCTAGTGCCGAAAAGGGCATCCAGCCAAAAATCTTAAAAAACTGTGACTTCATATTCTCAACTTCTTCGAAGCACCGACAGGACGCTCCTTGACAGGCTTTTCCATTTTGTTCGCTTTCGGGATGGCTGCAAGCAAGCCCATTGGAAGCCTGAGATGGCTGTTACGAGGAAGTCGAGGTGTTTTTGGCAGTCAACTCGAGTCCTCAAAGGTAACGATATATTTCTTCCTGTTGAAGGACTGCGCATTATAAAGACCAGGGCTAACGGAGATTGATTACAGCAATGCATGGCTAGCCAGCAGACTCGGGCGATGGCCACCGAAGCGAATTTGCGAAGCGGTTCAATATCTACGGCCCAGTCGCCTCTAATCACCAACCTTCAGGACGACATTCCAAAGCCCGTATGGAATCCTGCCCCTGCCATTGTTACGCTCTACGATTTCCCCTCGATGGAACCAATCCAGTACCTCGAATATAAACCTGAGCATCTTCTCCTTCCTCTGCGCCGTGACATATTACACCGTGCTGTCATCTACGAAGGTGACAAGACCCGACAAGGTACCGCGAGCACAAAATGGAGAGACGACGTACGGGGTAGCGGACGCAAGATCCGGCCGCAAAAGGGTACCGGAAGAGCTCGTCTGGGTGATAAGAAGTCGCCGATGCTAAGAGGAGGCGGTGTTGCTCATGGACCCCATCCACGAGACTTTTCGACCGAACTGCCACGAAAGATTTACGATAAGGCCTGGCGAACAGCGTTAAGCTATAGATACCAACGAGGACAGCTCATTGTTGTCAACGACAACATCTCCCTAGAGCGCGGTGCCTCCGCTCACTTACTTCACGATATCTTCCAAACGCACGGTTGGGGCAGGGAGTTTGGCAGGTCTTCTCTCATTACCGAGGTCAAGAAGGAGCGGCTTTTCCGAGCTGTCGCAGAGATTGGTCGAGAGGCCAGGGCTTTGGACCGTGCAGATGTTGATGTGAAGGATCTACTCGAGACCGGACGATTGATCATTGAGAAGCAGGCCTTGGACAAAATGCTCGCCCTTCACTCGAGCGACCTTGGCCGTCCCCTGGGTAACATGTGAGAAGGGACTATGGGCATATAATGGCGTACCGTGTAATATATATTTTGACTTCATTATGTACTAGTAAATTCTTCATGTTTTCATCCTACAGCTTCAGCTGGAGTCACAAGTTATGGCCATTACAACGAGCAAATTCTCAGATCAATAAGAAGAGTACATGTCAAATTAGAATAGCCATATATCCTATATATCTTCCTTCTTTCTTGTTTGATGCCTTTTGAACTTATAGTGCTTTTAACGCCTTTTATACCTACCTGCGTCATCCGCACCGAAGCTCCGCCGAGGGAACAAAACCGAACTTTTTTTCCTCTGTAACTAAATTCCAACGCTGGCTTTCGGCAACGAGAAGCCGTTTAACATCCATCGCTCGTACCGTTGAGAAAAACCCAGGAATCCTTTCGGTTACAGCGCCTTTGCAATGTCACTCCTTTTCCTCAGGTCCAACTGTGTCCGATCATCTACACCGTCGAGCTGGTTCTCGCGGAATCTATCGTCTCAGATGCCACTACGAGCCAAACTCGAGAGCTCTGCATTCGGCGGAAAGGCGAGGGTGAGTGAAATCGCAATGAGTCTCCGTGATTTTTATCCATCGTCCAGCTTTAACTGATGAATCATGTCGTTCGTGATAGATGTCCTCAGCCGCTTCCCCTACCGGTGCGAAAGAGCTCCCCGGCGACGATCCCGACGATGTCCTCTTTTCAAAGCTCTACGGCGTCAGATTGATTGAGCTCAACCGACCAAAGAAACTGAACTCGCTCAATGGTTCGATGGTGCGGAAGATTCTTCCTAGACTACAGGTATAGCCCTCAGTTTCGACCATATTCTCTAAATTCGATTCTAGAGCGGATAGCTAAGGCCTGTAATACCGGATGTAGGAATGGGAAAAATCACAGCTTGCCAACATTGTGATGATCTCCGGCGCTGGAACGAAGGCATTCTGCGCTGGCGGAGACGTAGCCGAACTCGCAAAGCAGAATACGGAGGGAGTTAGCGGCCAGCAAAAATCTAGGGAATTTTTCGGGCAGGAATACCAGCTCGACCATTACATTGCGACCTACAGCAAGCCCTATGTTGCGATCTTGGATGGAATCACAATGGGCGGCGGAGTCGGGCTCAGTGTGCATGCGCCGTTCAGGATAGCTACCGAACGTACCATGTTTGCAATGCCCGAGACCACCATCGGCTTTTTCCCGGATGTTGGCGGCTCTTTCTTTCTCCCACGCCTCGATGGAGAGATCGGTACATATCTCGCCCTTACATCTGAGCGTCTGAGCGGTGTTCAGGCCTTCTACGCTGGTATTGCAACTCATTACCTTCCATCCAGCGCGTTAGGAAACCTTACTACTCGACTCTCCGAGTTGGTATTTAGCGATACTGCATCGTTGCGCACCCGCCTTGACCTCATCAACAAGACAATCTCCGAATATACGGTTTATCTCCCACCCTTGAAAGAAGAACCAATGCTGCTATCCGGCAGCCTCCGTAAGTCTATAGATCGATGCTTCTCCGAGACAACTGTCGAGAATATCATATCTGCACTGGAAAAGGAGACGGAGAACCCTGATTGGGCGCAGAAGACTCTCAAAACGCTGGCTCAACGCTCCCCTATTGCCCTTAAGGTCACGCTCCGTCAACTTCGTGTGGGCAAGTCATGGTCCATCGCAGAAACGTTCCAGCGAGAGGACCAGATTGCCGGACATTTCATGGCTCATCCGGACTTTGTCGAGGGTGTCTCGGCCAGGCTTGTTAACAAACCGCCAACCAAACCAGTCTGGAAACACGGGTCACTGGCTGAAGTCACTGATGCTGAGGTAGATGAGTTCTTCCGTATCCCCGAGGGCGAGAGTCGCCTACCATTACTGAACACGAGTACCGACTACATGGAATACCCACATGCCAAGTTTGCCCTTCCTACAGAAGGTGATATCATGAAATTCGTCAGAAACAATGCTCCGGTGCGTGCCAGCCAAGTCATCAAGGAGTTCATGGTACGAACCGATGCGAAACTTGGCGTAAAGGAGAAGGTCCACGAAGTCTTGAATCGAAACACTAAAGAGACGGAAGAGGGCTTGGTTTTGAATTAACGGATGTGCAGTGGACATCTGGACCTCGATTGTATTTTCGTTTGCATTCTCCCGTTCCAGCTAATAAATAGAAGAGGTCATTCGCCAGTATATATACAACACCGCGTTGCATTATAGTTGGTATACTACTTATGTTACGAAATATCTCCTTGTTACCTTGATCGTATTTGATCGTATTAAAGGGCATGAAGATGTGTCGAGCCCTTATTTTAGGAAATTGTAGGCAATTGTAGGAAATTCAATTTGGCTCTTTTGAGGGAGAGCCATACTCCGTTGTGTAACTAACTTGGTTGTGACTCGAGAAGGCGCATTTCGTCCACCCCCTATAGTAATTTTACCCATCGCCTCCCCTCCGGTTGTCTCTCGCATTTATCTGCGCCTTCAATAGGCACAAGTCCATGTGCTATCACCCTCCTTTCGACGAGAACATCCCCTTGACGCCGTGTGCTGGCAATCCACCCTGGGTGCTTGGCAGGGCCAGCTAAGAGCCCACTCGCCGCCTAGTCTTGCATCAAGCAAGCTTCCATGGTGTAGTTGGTTATCACGTCAGTCTCATATTACTAAGTATGAGGAGCAGCTCAAACTGTTCTGACATCTGAAGGTCGCCAGTTCGAACCTGGCTGGGAGCAATTTCTTTTTGTCTTTTTTACCTTTATATTTCTTCCCCTTCGCCTCACCTTGATAATCTTATTATTATTATTATTTTTACAGGAAGGCGACTAGTTCCTCGTAGAATGATTCGCCGTTGTGTTAATCAACTGTTAATCAGCTAAGGATGCAAAAAGGGGTCGACTGCAACTATCACCACCACCACAACCACAGCCCAACAGAACAAAACAGAGATAAAGACGACATTATTCATTTTCAAAGACTTCCAATCTGCAGAGCTGTGTGGAGATATGCTTCCATAACTCAATCAGCATCGTCGCCACGTCCGCCGACTGCGTTCCCTCCGCCAGCTTAAACCGGACCGTCGGCTGAAGCTCGCGCACATTCTTCACATCGTATAAAAAGGAGCCGAACACTCGTCCCAGAGTGCGCGGCGTCGGAAGTGTTATGCAGAAATCACACGATGCCGTCCCTGGAGGGTGAAGATACTGGTGCGAGACCTTCCGGTCAGCGCACTCGTCTGCAGTCAATGCGAGGAGGCCAAAGATCGCACAGATTAGCTCCAACTGCATGTCCGTTGTCAGCGCCAGCAATGCCAGAGTGATCATCCGGACCTTTGCCGCTACTGGCATTGCTACGCCCTTGATGTATTCCCTCCGGCCTGGATCTCGCCGGTCTTTCATCTCTGTGAAGTTCTTGTCGTGAATCTGCGCGAGAACGCTGTACAGGGAGGACGAACCCAGGATACCACCAGGCAGCTCGCAGAGGAAGTGTCGAAGAACTGTGGATATGTCCTGGACGTGGGCATCGCCCTTCGTTCGAGCGCATTTATACACATAGCCCGACGGAAGGCGAATCGACCTCGTAGTTCGGTTGATCGTGTCCTTTGATCGTTCGGCTCTTACTATTTGATTTGCGTAATGGCTGTATAGCGCAAAAACAACCGACTCGTCGCATGCGCTGCCGTAGCCGTATGGTGCAGATGTGCCTGGTTGGTGGAAGAACCGCATTCATTAGCTGTCAAATACCCTTGTTTTGAGAAGAGGCTCGATTGGACGAGACCTACCATGCTGCTGCAAAAAATGCATTGGAGCTGCTATGCAAGTAGGAAGCCGAAGTGTGCCTGGCTCATATTCCCTTGGGAAGCTGATATTACTCTCCCCTCCGAGTCGCGCAAGATCTTCAAGTGCCCTTCCTTCGAGTATACCGTATTCAGCATGGGCGTTTATATTCGCCATGGTCTTGATACGTCGCAAGCCGTGTTTACTGCCATCCTTACGTTTAACCGTCAAGTTAGACCTGACCTTACGCAGCCGATTAAGCAGCGAGCTTTGCCTTGCGGGTGTATCGTTTTCTGTGGGCACTCGAAGTTAGCGCCTATTCGGACATGAGATGCTTTCTTCGTATAGAGAGAGTGTCCTGCCCTACCTATTCCAGGCGTTGGTGATACCTCCTTCGATATAATTACATCCAACCCTAGATACCGAGCGGAGCCATTGAATTTGAGAAGTGATTGTGCTTTGATCAGACCCCTTCGCTCTTCTCTGCTACCATCCATCAGCCGCGGGCACGCTGAAGCGGAGGAAGTACTGCTACCGCTCCTTCGCATGGAGTGCCTACCACCTCTCCCAAGCCGCTGCCCTCGATCACAATTATCATAGCTGTTGTTCGAGTTTTCCATTTCATGAGCAAAACATTGAGAAGACCCCATGGGAACAAGGACATTGCGCGATCCTTCCCACGGCTCGGTCATCGTTTTACTGTCAGAAAACGGGTTTGAATAAGCCTCAGATGGTGTCACCGGGACTACTGGCTCAAACGGGCTAAAGGCTCGCTTTGTCGGATCATGGTTGACGGTCATGTTCGATTGCTCCGACAGAGCTGTGTAGCTGCTGGTCTTGCTTGATATCCCCACGCCATTGTATACATCTTCCCCTGTGGTGAGGACGAGGTTTGCTGCCGCGGTACCCTGATGGGCCATAGCCGGCGCGTCAGGATGATTGTATCCGTGTAGTAGCTTGGGCCTATTTGGAGAGCGATCAGGTATAGCCGGAGGTTTATCCGTAGGCTTATCCATAAGGCTATCCTCTTCTGACAGGTGAGATTGCAACTGGGCCACCAGGTTTACTCCGCTGGTACTTCGCAACTCGATCGTAGGAGGATTATCGCTGTGTGCTTCGGTTGTTCTTGTTGAGATTTGCATAGATTCTTCTCTGTTATCAGCGGGTATGCCTGAATCCCGGACCTTTTTTAGTGACAGCAGGGCCGAATGAAAGACTTCTTGGGAAGAGGACGACCTAAGGCTGTCCCCTGAGGTGTTAGCCCTCCTCCGCTGTCGCCTTGCATTCCATCTTGCTTTGGTATAGAAACTCGTCAAATAGTTATATGCTTCTGAGAGGCCCATTTTCGCCTTTTATCGTCGTCAAATCTGGAATGGTTTTGCTATTTAGTTACCAATATTTACATCCTCTTCTATATATAAACGCTTTTTAGCGATAGATATTTCTTTCAAAAAGGAAGTTATTACCCAGGAGTGAAGGTGAGGTCTTTCTTACTTTGAAGACTCACAGCAAAGGAGAAGAAGGCAAGATCTTTAGCAAGTAGAAAATAGATACATACATAGGTTTATTAAAAACGGGCAGTATGGATGGTTCAGGTACAAGAGGAAAGACGGAACAGAAAACCTATTTCCAAACAGCCTCCATAATTGGTCTTCTATTCATGCATCATCAACGCCGAAAATCTCCGTTTTACCCAATGCCTTATTATTCGGGCTCTTTGCCCATTCCAAAACACTAGACATGTGTTTTGGAGCTTGCTTTTGAAGCCAGAATCACATATATGCGGGCCACTAAAGGTGGAAATGAAACCGTTGGTAAACGAAGACAGTGCACATATGACGTTGCAATGCATTAATCCCTACCCAACGCCGCCATGGTCAATTGAGGAGAATGGAAAAGGAAGAAGAGAAGTAAAAAAATTAACAGGTCAATAAGAATAGGAACAAGAAACGCCAAATTATATGCAAATGCACATGATTTCCTTTTTTTTTTTTTTTTTTTTCATTTTGTTTTATATCATTTATCATGGCTCGTCCTGTTCACCATCTAGCAGGAGGTAATGAAGGATATCACTTAACGCAAGGACTCCTCGGAGACGGAATTGGTCATCGACAACTACCAGGCGATGCACTCTGGATCTCCGGATGGTGTCGAGAATGGTATCCAGCCCATCATCGATCGAACAAGTATAAATTCCAGGGAAGTCCTGGCCATACGTTAGTTAGGAGCCTACTAAACAAGATCGAAAATTTAAGATTCAGGTTTGGTACTCACGGGGGAGCGTTTCTTCAGTACTTCGCCTACCTCTAGATTGAGGTCGTCATATACCCCTCCCTTGATTAATGTAATCACATCGACAGCTTCGAATACGTTGTATACAATACCTTTCCAAGGCATGGTTAGCAACGTGCCGTTACTATGGGGTTTCAAAATGGTACGTACCTTCACTGTTAACAATTGGTACACTTGATATGCTCCTTTCAACCAACTTATGTATAACATCAATCACAGGAGTGTCCATGGAAGCTGTTACTATATCGGTATAAGTTCCAAGATTGATCTCCTTTAGCGGTTTCCGTAGCTTTTGTGTCTCTGCCACATTCACTGCAACAAACTTAAGAAGGCGATATTGCGTAAGTACGCTGACCACCAATGGCCTTTCGGTTTGGCTGTCATATGAAACCAGGGGTACACGACGTGCCCTGGATGATAACATGCTGCGACATGCTTCGTATAATGGTCGCTCCGGACCAATAGAAATGGTTTCTGGAGGCGCTACGCCGAGCGCTCGTTCAACCTCTGTGAATACATTAGCAACGATGCCCATAGGTAGAAGTGAAGATGGGTTCGAATACATACCTCGGAGACTATTCAGCCGAAACTGGTCTATCTTTGCTAAAGCCTCCTGGTGCTGGAAGTAATACTGAATTACATTAATATAGTCGGATGTTGTCAGAATACCTGCGAACCTCGATGTTGAAGAGTCCCAAAGAGGTGCAGACACAATTCCTATACGCCAATAACGAATTTGGTTTTATTAGTTAGCCAATGACATTTGCCGAGTGATAGCAGGACATGAGGCTCGAGCGAGAAAAGCGAGCAGCCGAATAACATACCATTTTGAATGAGAATATTCAAACTCTCTTTCACTGATAATGAGGTGTCGAATACGATAAGTCGGAAACTTAGCGGCAGCACATCATAACTTGTGCGGACTTTTAAGAAATCTCGAATGGCACGCTACAAGTAACGACGGATGAGTTAAACCAGGCAGAGAAGACGCAGCGCAAACGAGTACGAATATGTTCGGTTGAAAACGGATTATATTCTTGTTATAACTTTTAAACAAGGGATGAGGATGGGTGTCTTGTATCTTCAAATCTGGGGATTGGCCGGGGTATATATAAATTGGACATGGTACTGTCTCCTCACCACTCTTTTTCTTGTCCTAGGCCAGAGAGTATAGATATATGTAGCCCAGTAGAGAGAGTATTCAGGGAGAACTGAAAACTAGGGAGGGTTGTAGCCTGCTGGACATAAGAACAGTCCATGCCACAGCTGGAAGAGCTGGGTTGGCTAGAGGCAGGAAAGATGGTGTAAAGGTCGAACAAGGGAGAGACAAAGAATAAAAAACATGAAACAGGCATAACAGGAAACAGATAAGGGGGCATAGGAGCTTACCAATGCCTGTCGTTCATCGTCATCAAATACTCTTTCTG